ATATATATATATTTGTGTGTTTGTGTGTGTGTTTTAAAATTAAAAATAATGCGAAATTAAGCAGAATGCATTCATTAATATGAAATGGGTTATAAACAACCCTTACATAAATCTAACAATAGGAAAGACAATAAAAAAATAATATGAAAGAAAAAATATAACTCCTACTATCTCCAATAAATCAATTCATATTAATTATTTTGGAGATAAAAGAAACAACACAAAATAGGAATTGAAATAAATTCAATCCAAGAAAATAAATATAAATAAATATAAAATAGGAAAGAAAATAACTCATAATCTAAGACTAAGAAAATAAGTTATTCCTCATAATTTCTCACAGGAATAAATTATTTCCTAATAACTTCTAACACTCCCCTTATGTTGAAACATGGTTGAAAACTATGTTCAACTTGGATTTGAAAACATCAATGAGCGAGAAGATCCTAAGAGATAGAACTTGAAGTTTTCCTCTCGTACTGCGGTTATTTTTTAATGCAATTCCTGCAGTATTTGTAGGTAGATGAAAGATTCCTACAGGTAATGTTATGGGGGAGTTTGCTGGAAAGTAAATAGTAGTTGGAATTCCTGCAGTGTCTGTAGGTAGACGAAAAGCTCCTACAAGTAATGTTGCAGAGGAGTTTGCAGAGAAGTAGACAACTGTGATTGTCTTTTACTGCAATTCCTGCAGTGCCTGTAAGTAGACAGAAGACTCCTCTAGGTAATACTGCAAAAGATTTTGTAGGGAAGCAGAAAACTGAGCTTGTCTTTGACTGCAGTTCCTGCAGTGTCTGTAGATAGACAGAAGGCTCTTACAGGTAATGCTACGAGAAAAATTATGGAGTGCCTAATGAAGGAAAAAGCTTCGGAGGAGTGCAGGAAGAATTCCAGTGGACCAGCTGGAAGAAAAAACTCCAAACGAGGGTCTGATGCAGTAAAAGCTCCGAAGGAGCGCCTACTTCAGGAATAGCTTTGGCAGTAGGCCTCGCAAAAGAAAAAGCTCTAGAGGAGGAGGCTTTGCACTCAGGAGGGCATAGCAACAGGATACTTCCGACTGCAGAGAGTTTCGGTGGCAGAGAAGGGCCTGCATGGGGTTTTTGGGCAGTAGGGAAGAATCGATGGAGCCCTCACCAACATACCAATGCAAAAAGGCACGCTTCGAATACATAAGATCAAACTTATGACTGATGTGATAGAACACCTCTGCAATGTTAGTGTAGTTAGATATCATGTAAGCTGTCCTCTGCACCTTGCAAGTTCTCCACCAGGAACAATAATAGGCGGCTGGTAATTAATGCCACACTTAAAGCCAATCGGGCACCGGTCAACAAATTGGATGGTGCACTTGGTCTTGATGGTGGCAACAACAACATTCACATCCTTGGGCACCACATCTCCTCGATACATGAGACAACAAGCCATGTACTTGCCATGGCGGGGATCACACTTGGCCATCATGGAGAACGGCTTCAAGGCATTGTTGGTGATTTCGACAAAAAAGAGTTGCTCTTGATAGGCTTTCTTTGTGGAGATAACAATAGTGTAGGATGAAAATCATGTAGTGGATCAGTGGGTATGGAACGAGGTTAGTCTAGAAATCAGTCACATCCACATTCAGTGCACCATCAAACCTAAGGGAGGCAGTCAGGGATGAAATCACCATTCCTAGGATGCCACCGGCCGCATTCATCACGGCACTGGTTGAACAAAGCTCTAAAAGCAGCAAATCCAAAAAAATAGCCAGTCAACATCACCACCACAACATGCAGGCCAAAGGCTATCTGATCTTCATAAGAAGAAAAGGGCTTTGTTACCTCCTTAGAGCGACACCCTTCACAAGTTCATTGTATTCCTTGCTCTCCATCATATCCGCAAGCTTCCTCAGTCACTTCTTTAACTCCTCGCTCTTCTCCTTGGGTTTGGGACTAGAGAAGAGGAATTCAGAACTAGAGAAAATGGAGGTTATGGAGGACCACACACCACCTAGGAGAGTAGACCAGACGGAGCGGTGGGACCACTAAACGATGGAACTCTGAGAAGACAGAGCGGAGGTAAGATCTCTGAGCTCATCAAGGTGATGTTGCTCGTCATCCACAGCGGCAGAAGGAATGCTCGAATTGTCTCGTTGATCTGCAAGGCAAGCCCTGTGATTGTTGACCTAACGACGGGAGAATTTGGCCCTCCAACCATCCGTAAAGAAGACAACTTCTGCTACCCCAGATAGGATGAGGCTGAAGGGAACTAGACAGCTTGGGTTGATTGATTGGGAGGCCTGCTCGTAGTGAATAGTTAATATGGGGATAGTTCTGGGATAACAAGTAGGATTGGGGAGAGAAAGCGTCCCTCCCTGTTGGGAGAATGGCAGGAAGGGAGTCCGACAGCTCTGGAGGGATGAACGGCGGCTGGGGTAGAGAACCTAGCTCTGACACCATGTTGAAAGTCACAATAATATGGAATTAAGCGAAATGGATTCATTGATATGAAAGGGATTATAAATAACCCTTACATGAATCCCACGATAGGAAAGACAATAAAAAGAAAATAATATGAAAGTAAAGATATAACTCCTAATCTAAGGAAATAATTAATTCCTCTGAACTTATCACATGAATAAACTATTTCCTAATATAACTTCTAACACTATATGTATATCTATCTATCCTCCAAAGGGTGACCAATAAACAAAACATATTGCATAAATTAAAGAAGAGAAACAAGAGAAGAGGAAATGCTTTATATATATATATATATATATATATATATAGCAGTGTGTTTGTGTGTTATTTAAGAAGTTATTAATGATATGTATGTAAATCCACCTATAAAAAGGCACCAAGTGTTTGTTCAGCACCTTGGATTTGGGAGGCTGAGGAGTGGTTTTAAAAACACTCCAATTGCGAGTGATTTTCTCATCTTCTTCAACATCTTCTTCAGCTTCATCATTGGTTTCATCATCATCATCCTCACTATCTTCTTCATCCTATAAGAAGAAATAAAACAGTTAACTGCAAGCCTATGAAATAGGGAAAACGTAGTAAGCAGCTTCCTAGGTGGGAAGTCCGATGGTGCATGCCAAACTAGCTGCTCGGATAATCCAAAACAGAAACATTATAAATTTTTCATAAGAAATAGTAAAGAAACTACAGTTCCCCTCACTTCATTCTCTCCAATGTCAACTGCACTTGCCATGGCCTCATCCATATCAGTGACCTGAAATCTCAAATGGAAAAACAAAATTTGATAATCAGGAGAAATTTTTCCCATATGGCAGAATAAAATGGCATACTTCAGTATTAAAATAGTAGTCACCTCAACTTCTTGTTTATTCTCTTTATCTAAAATTTCCTGAAGCTCTTTCCTTGATATAATTTTTCCTTGCTGTGCGAAAAGAAGAAACACTTCTCTTAATAAAAGAAGTTAAAAATTATTGAAAAGGCTCAAGTAAACAGGAATCCATATAGAGCATAGATTCAATTTGCTACAAAGTCAACAGAACTTCAGGTCCTTCAATAATAAATTCAAAAAACATCAATATCAGTGTCTTCCAGCTCTAATTTATCTATCCCAAATTCAGGATCAATAAAAAGACAATATGTAAATGTGCAAGTTAACTTATACATCCGACAAACTAATTGAAGCTCGTGCCAATAAGATTTCACTTATGTTCAGTTCCTATGTTGCAAAGAATTTGAACAAGTTTTTTTATGCTGGACAAATATCATAATTTACTCTATACGGATATACTTGATATAAGTTTGGGTCATTAACAACATCATTCACAGCTCATGAGCAAACACGTTTAAGATTCATTAAGATGAGTAATCAGAAATGGCTCCTTAAACGTTTGGCTAGGGCTGCTTAGCTTGTATGGTTTGCATGTGCTTGTGCTTGCTATTGTCATAATTTAATGATTTGATTCAAATGTCACATCTTCAAGCTTCAAAGGATCTCTCTGAGCTTCTATGGGCTTTGAAAAGAATTTGTTTGAAGCTTAGGTTCCTTCTTTATTTCAACATATCTTGGCGGTTCATTATTTTGTTCATAGCAACATTACTCTAGCATTTTCATACCGTGAGATGGGCAAACATTCACCGATTAGTTGATAATATTTCTTTCATATCATAGTTCATATAAAATTTATTCACCTTTGACATGCTCAACTTTGTGTCCAAGAACTTCAAGATTTGTCTAAAATATTATATTTAAACATGATTTCTCATTATATGACATAAATTTTAAAACATAAGCCTTCTTGTGATGAAGTAAAAATATGCTGCACTCAATTCAACACTTTCAAACATCAAATGGACATTGCAATGACAAAATTTTGTTTAATGCATTCAATATATTTTACATTTTGTAAGGCATGCTTGATAAAATTATACTCAAATTTCACCTCTTTCTATACGACGAGTATTTTTTTTCTCTTTTACATTTTAATTCATATAGTCAATGTTTCAAATTTTCATATATTACAGATTATTTCAAAATCTTTTATGCCATCTGAAACTATGATAGTAACTACAAATAAATTTATGAAACTAGATATTTTTATTTTGCTAAGTAGGTCACCCATTTCTGTTAAGCCATTGCGACCTTCCGTGTTTCCCCGATTGTTGAGACAACCTTCTACAAGTCAATTATTGAAATTTTGGTCCATAATTTGCTAGTCCAGAAGCTAGAATATGTTTGGCTATCAATTCCACAAAATTATTCAATGAGGGATCGCTATATTAATCTAGCCACTAGTACTTAGCAAGATATTCTTCTTTGCTGAAGAAGCCGAGCTAATCCGACAATCAGGGTCAATGTCACCAAAAGTGTGCTATTGAAGTTAAGCACAACAACAATGTTTTACAATACATAAGTGCCGTGTAGTAGCACATGCATAATTGCACAGCGAAGTGCTGTACTCTTCAACAAGCTCTGAGTTCATCTGGGAAACAATTCCTAAATCCCAATTCATCACAATTTACATATAAATCCTTTACATCAGGCATGCCAGCTCGTATGCTTCACAAATTACGTCTCTTTCGGTGCAAGGGCTCAAACTCTACAGCTCAAACATATAATGTCTTCCCCTTGAGCTCATTTTCTTCTAAATCTTGCACGTGCTCAAATTTCTCTCACGTACCTCATGTAACAACTGCAAATCTTGACCGTGCAACCACTCAAACTCACAAAACTTTTGCTTTCCATGTATAATATGCACGTGACTTCCCTCTGTGACTGGACTCAAACTTTTGGTCTTCATAACAATATGCTTCAAAGCTCTTGTGATTCTTGTTGAAATTTAATTAGCATACTACCTTGTGCTGCTCTTTGTTGATATTTGATTGAATATGCTCAAAATATTTTTACCATTTTATGTGCTATAAAGGTTGCTATAATATTTTCTACCATGCAGTGTTCTCTCAATGTTGAAATTTAGGGAGTCTATAGAGTGTACTGAGATTAATTGAAGTATCTGTTTTATTTGTGCTTCATACTTTAATGCAAAAATACCCCTTTGCACTTCGTCTTGTACTTCGCCTATAGACAAACTTATATCAAACTTATATACAAAGAACCATCACACTTATTCATAAATTATGTAACTACCACCTGTTGATGCCAGTAATATTTTCCCTGCTTTAAACTAGAATTTCCATTTGTAGATTATCTACCTCCATAAGGTAAGCCAGTACGTCAGGTGTAGGCTCATGGAAATTTGGGCCTCTGTAATCAATTACTTCTTCTGGATCTTGAACATAGTTGATAGTTGGGTAAACTGGATCGCCACCCCATACTGAAAAACGTTGAAATCAAGCACATTACTTGCATTGTTTTAATCTACAAGATAGATTAAAGAAAAACAAAACATTTCAAATGATCTATCAATATTCATATCCGGGTAAAAAATTTGTCAATCCAAAGAGAATAAGATTTTATTTGAACTGCTAAACTTGTCACATCCAGAGATTGCCTTATATCCACTTCAAAATAAAATCAGACCACTGAAACCACAAAATAAAGGAGAACAAGAAAACAGGGAAGTACAGTTTCATCCATACACCATGGTGATCATCTTACCACACGCCACCCCCACCATAAAAAACCTACAGCTGCCAAGAATAACCAAAACAAGGAAGCACCACCTTGCCCAACAATCCATGGTGATCTAAAAATTCAAATAGCAAAGAACTCCCATTTTGTGCCTCAAGTTAGTAACATAGAGGTCGATCATCAAGAGATCAGTAATCTTGATTCTTTCATGATGGATAGGTTCCACAGAATGCTGATAGTGATGAATAAGTTGACTAGCATGCAAAAGATACTAACTTCATACATATGAAGTTTCTACAGGCAGGCATTCCCATTTTGGATAAAAATAGCTCCACCAAAAGACCAAGGGTTGACTGTATCGTTTGGGAACAACGATATATTGATGGACAAGTAAAAGAATGTATTGAAAGTAAAAGAAAGACAACTCACTGCTTGGAGAAATAGACATTTATTCTAGAAACCATTTTTAAAAAGATTTACATAAATTTCTATGATTTAACAAATCAAACACCTAAATTTTGACTTTTACATTTATAGCACTTTATTTATGCATACAAAGGTGTATTTTACTTTTTAAAAGTTAGAAAAAAGTGATATTTTTTATGTGACACAAAAGATTTCAGTTTTCTAAAAATTAAAGTTTAGGTATTAGATATATAAATACATAGGAATTGTGACGTATTTATGTAGATGCCCCTTTTTAAAAAAGTAGCTCCCAAGCTCACTTTGTTCGACGTCAAAGCAAAGCTCTCCCAAAATGCTTTAAATCCATAGGTTTGAAACTTAATGGTTAATGTATTCAAAACATAAGCTTCCTGGTTCACTTTCAGACTTCAAAAACTTATGCTTCATCATGTACAAGCACAACGCATAAATAATGTATCACACATCAAAAACTTGAATTAGACAACGATTTTAGTCATCATATAAAAAAGATCCTATTTCTTTACAAATTCTTTTCTCAATTTATTTCTCTAAGACATTTAGTTGTGGGCATAGATTTTTTTTATTTATTCATCTAAAAGATTTCTACTCATTTGTATTTATAGAAAACTCAAGTGTGCATTATTTCAAGATCTAAGAATCAATTTGAGCCATGTCAATAATTTGTTTAATTTATGGATATCATCCACAACGTTTATTAATATGAGTTAACTTAAGTATACACAATCAAATTTCTCTCTCATGCCTCATGTAGCAACTGCAACCCTTTACCATGCACCACTCAAACTTACAAACTTTTGTTATCCATGTATCATGTGTGCGCGTCACTTCTCTCTCTGACTAGACTCAAACTTTTGACCCTCATTACAAGTTGCTTCAAAGCAAATGTTAGAGAGGAAATATGATGGGAAATGAAAAATTACCACCTGCTATAATTGTGAACACTAATGCTTTCACCAAGATGATAGCGACAATGACGCAGCCAATTTAAGATTCCAGATCATAATCTAGTTCAAGTAATACTATAACAATAAATAAATACTTGAAAATGTTTCAAGGTTTATGTCTACCTTTGCTCAAGGGAATGGAAGGTCCGACTTAAGCGGAGAACTGACTGATATGGATAGAAAATATATCACACAGCATGACGTGTTTGAATGAAACGACAACTACAAAATACATTTTGTAGTGGATGGAGAATCAATGGCATAGGTAGCATCATAATAGCTTAGGGGATATACCATAATGATAAATAGGGATGATTTTGTAAAACTATTTAGTGTGGTTTATTCCCCTATTTGCACATATATAGATGCAGAACAAGTTCATCAAGTTTGTAGAAGATGAAAAGACAATCATGTAGTATGAAGCAGAGTTCACTAGATTATCAACGTATGCATCACAGCCGGTATCAACGACAAAGAGGAGTTTATAGATTTCTTTATAGATTGAAGGATTCTATCATGTAGTCATTGGTTCTTTTGGGGATTAAAGACTACGTAGTGCTAATGGAAAGAGCTACAAAAAGTGAAAATTAATTTTCAACTTACTCAAAAGCATAAAGAGACATATGAGAGGAAGTTGTAGCTCAATCAAGGAGAAGTTTTAGCTCAATCAAATGAATCAAATAGATAAATCCCGAATTTAGTTTGGTGGTTTTAGTAGTGGCATGACTCGAAGTACCATAAATTTCTCTGTCAAATGTGAAAAGCAGTATAAAGATGAATGTTTCTTGGGCTCCAACACATGTTAAATAGAGCCCTTTCACAGAAGACTGTAGATGGGCAAATGATGATAGAGTCAAAAGCTTAATTTCCCACTCAAAAACAAACAAGACAAAATTCCAATCTCAAGTTTATGTTCTCACTCACAGAGAGTTTGAAGATCCAACTACTATAATTAATGATATCATAATGTCTGGTCAGTATTATTCGTCACTATTATATTTAAGTGTTATCTTATATGCATTGCTATGTTTTGATAAATTAGAAGCGTGTTTTACTTTGGCATTCATTTTGTATGGGCTTCAATCTGTTATGATTTTCTAGTATAAATGTTATAACTTTCTCTTGGTAAAGTTGAGGTAAATGATTCATGCCAGAAAAGTAACTATTATGGAATGTAAATTTTAAAGATGAATTTTTTTGTGTGGAAGATTATAATGCCTCTGGTATTGAGAACCAGTTATATTTTATTAAAGTAACGAAAGGGGGGCTCGAGCAACAGACCAAGTTAAAGAGTAGGAGTCGAAATGGGAGTACGAAGCAACGAAAACAAAGCAAAGAGACAAAGAGAAGGTGATTTGGAAGTCAAAGCAATCATGAGGGAAGGGGTTATTTGCTGCTACAAGAGGAGATGAGAGCGAGCGAGAGCGAGAGAGAGAGAGAGAGACAGACGAAGTCTATGGGAAGTTGAGCAAGCACCTATACCTATGATTTCGAATGAAATTGAAGCCGCATGCATCGCATAGGCAAGTATCTTGTAACGATTGTGAACATGGACGACATATGCAAGGATGAGAGGGCCAATCATCGTGCTCAAACAATAAAAAGCGCACAAAACTAAGAGCAGCATCAAATATGAATGGCGACTGCAAATCTCTTGTGGTGGACGATAGAGTGTGAAATAAACCCTGTGGGTGAACTCACTTGGACAGAAGATGAGTGAGAGAGAGGTTTAATGTGTCAAACCAAACTACGCTCGATGTTCATTCAATGTTGATGAGCATGAAAAAGTGTTGATAATTATTAACTTATATCTAACAAATAATAATTTTAGATTTATGTAATATTTAATATATAATTAATGTTTAGAGGTTGATTTATTTTTAAAGATTTTAAGTGAAAGAAGAAAGCGATCGATAACCACTCAATCGCCAAACAAGAAATTCAGACGTAAGATTTAAAATGGTGTATTGATTTCTTGATTTAAGGCTAGTATTTATTTAATTTAATTTTCTTAAATGTAAAACATAAAGTAAAGTTAACCCGACACTTTAATTCTTTGAAGTTAGAAAATTTTGAATATAAAAATAATAATACTTTAAGAAATATATCACTAAAAAACAAAATAATTTTTATAAAAATAATAATACTTTAAGAAATATATCACTAAAAAACAAAATATTTTTTTGTATTCCCAATTGAAGTGTGGAAATATTTAGGAGATTTGGGAGTTTTTTGGCTTACTAAACTCTTTAATAATATCTTAAAAATAAAAAAAAGCCTAAGGATTGTAGGAAGAGTATTTTGATCCCCATTTTTAAGAATAAAGGGGATGCATAAAAGTGTGCAAATTATAGAGGAATTAAGTAATTAAGTTGATGTGTCGAAATTAAGTTGATGTGTCGTACTTTGAAATTATGGGAGAGGGTAATTGAACATAGGTTAACACGTGATAACAAAAATTTCTCATAATCAGTTTGAATTTATGTCGGGCAGGTCTATTATGGAAATTATACATTTATTGAGAGGTTTGATGGAGACGTACAGAAAGAATAAGGAGAATGATTTTTATTGATATCGAAAAAGCTTATGATAAGATTGCAAGAAAAGTCCTCTAGAGATTTCTAGAGAACAAAGGTGTTGATATGGTTTATATTCAAGTCATTAAAGATATGTATACTAGATTTGTTACCTATGTTCGAACAGAAGGAGGATCGACCAAGTACTTTTCTATTTCAGTTGGATTACATTTATGGATGCTCTTACTGAACATTTGCAAAAGGTTGTACCTTTGTGTATGTTTTTTTCTGATGATATCCTTTTTGTGGATAAAACTTGAGAAAAATTTCAAAAAAAACTTGAATTATGGAGGTCTAAATTGGAGTCTAAAGGCCTTCGTTTGAGTAGATCTAAAACTGAATATATGGAATGTAATTTTAGAAGTAGTAACTCTAAACGTTTTAGATATATTGGATCTATTGTTCAAAGTGATGGTGATATAGATGGGGATGTTATTGGTAGTATTCAAGTTGGTTGGTTGTAGCGGAAGAATGCATCGGGATTATTGTGTGATAGAAAAGTACAACTTAGACTATAAGGAAAATTTTATAAGATGGTGGTAAGACCTGCAACGCTCTATGGTGTGAAATATTGGCCTTTAAAAGAAAAGCATAAAACAAAATTAAGTGTTGCTGAGATGAGAATGCTTAGGTGGATAAGCGGTTTGACACTTGAGACAATGTGAAATGAATATATCCGTGATCGGGTTGGCGCAGCTCCAATGGCGGACAAGATTAGAGAGAGTCATCTTAAATGGTTTGGGCACATTAAACGTCAATCATCTAATGATCTGATTAGAAGAGTAGATGTTTTAGATTCAGCTTATGTTAAGATAGGCAGAAGTAGACCTAAAAAGTCTTGGATATATTGTATAAAAAATGATCTTAATATAAAAAATGATCTTAATATATATTAGAATTAAATGGAAATATGACACTCAATAGGATGCAATGGAGAAAAAGGATTCATGTAGCCGACCCCACCTAGTGGGATAAAGGCTTGTTGTTGTTGTTGTTGTATATGATAGTAGCATAAGGTATAAAGTATTACTTATAAATCCATATATGATTGCTAACACTATAATATAGAATCTAACAATTTATTTAAAATATCATATATTTGATTATTAAAAACATAGTGATAAACTTGAATAAGAGAATGTTAGATAGTTTGAAAAATGAAAATCAGATTAACAAAAAACAGTTAAATTTAAATAACTATAGGATGTTATGTAAGAAAAAAAATTAATTTTTAAAACATTAAGGTTGAAAATGATGCTATACATTCAATAAGAATAATTAAGAAAGATTTACATCTTCTTAAATTGATGGTAGATTACATAAGAAGAAGAAAACAAGAAAATTTTTAATAATATTTTGGAAAGAAAAATCAATAATTCAATTACGAACGTTTAATTAAATGATAAATATTAATTTGGTTCTAAATATATACTTAGGTGAAAAAAATTAAATAAGCATATGTAATTTAAAGAAAATGATATTTAATAATAAAATTAAATAAAAATAACTAACACTAATTTTTGATATGTATAATTAGGAGCTCATTTAACAGAAGTGATAGCAAAAGATAAACGATATCCATTAAGATTTGAGGTGAATACTCCTATTTTCAAATTATAATAATAAAATTATGATTTTTCTAAAATACTTGCATTAGAATGACATTTATTTAGATATCTTCATATTTCAAATATGATATGATTATTCTATCATACTAGTAAATTAGTCATATGGAAATAAATAATATAGGTTTGCACACTTAAACCTATTTATATTGATTATAATGAAAAAAGGAATGATATGCATAATGCAAATAAAATAAAATATATGTGTTTGTATGTGCATGTTGAATATGACCAGTTCACCTCTTATAATATTAGTTGTGGTTGCTAAAGTACCAGTTGCACGTAAACTGAAAAATGATATTAATATTGATATATTTTAATTGATATAACCTAGACGGTGCTCTTATAATGGATGAAAATAACATAAATAAAGATAAGTTATTATACTATACTATTAAATATTCTAAACTTCACTTAATGGTCAAAATTGAATAATCAAATGTTAATTATTCAAAAATTGATTCAATATACTTAAAAAGAATTCATATTATTTCTCTTTCGTTATGTTTTATACTTTAGAAATATGAGTATTCACTAATAGTTAATAGCTCATTATGGTTTAAACTATTATTTCTAAGCTTAACTTTGGAGTAAAAATAAGTAATAAAGTAAAATGTATATAGAATATGGGATCAGAAAAAATTAAGATAAATTTATAATTGCATTTATTTTTTAATAGCTCTTTCAATTATTTTTTATGATTAATTGTTAGTGATATAAAATGAAACTAAATTTGTATTTTCACCGCCGTCTGTTCCCACCTTAGAATTTTCAAGTCCCCGAGCTGAGTTGTGATGATGGCAGGGTGTGGCGAATGCAGCAAGGCTGAGATGAAGTGTCTATTTATCATAGAACGCAATATGAAGGTAGAAAGAACAGATACCACATGCTGACCAACAGATATTACAGACTCAACCAAAATGTTTAACAACTTCTAACAAGTTACTGAACCTTTTCTGAAGCACTTGTAAGGGAAAACCTAGAATACATTGAAGTAAATATTTTAGTCATTTTAAAGGTTATTAATTTTTAGTAACTATGTAGTAATTGCAACTAAATTATATGGTACTTGAATAGTTTAAATTTTATTTTTTTCAAATCAACCACACAAAATTTGGGAGAGAATTAATGGTGCTTGACAATAATATTTAATGATATTACACAAGTATAACTGAAGCTGAGTTAACTGCATGTATTAACACTATTACGCAAATTATCACCTTTACATTTTAGTATGATACAAGACTATTAATTGATAATTAAGCAGCTTCACGCCAACATCAAGTGCCAGAAGTCTTAATTAGATTTATGGCTAGAAAAGAACTCAAAGCTGAAGAAAAAAGGTAAAGTTGAATTTATGTACTCTCTTTGATTAGCTCTTCACGCATCCGCATGGCTAAAGGATCTCGTTGAATACGAACATCAGTGCCCATCATGATGCGATATTCTTCTGCAGTTTGGTGCTGGAACATTGTGATGAGCTGGGTATTCTCATCCTCACCAGTTGCTTCAAAATGTTCCTGCACAGCCTTTCGTGAAGTGTCCTTAGTCCATGCTTTTACCCATTCTGCATAATATGCTATTGGTCCTATATCCTCTAATCTCTTCTGCTCAGCTTGAAGTCTGATTTCCAATCATAATTCAAGAAAATAATTTCTCAGAACCTCAATATTACATACAATAAGAGCTTTATTATGCTTTAATGAAGATCCCAAATGAAGGCACAACATAAATAACAATTAGTTGAAACACACATAAATAGTAAGACATTGAAGACATTCGTGTGAAAAGAACTAACTAAAGCAAATAAAGTTAGGTTCATCAACACTAAAACAAAAAAAGGATTTAACTAGGAGCTCTGCCACTACCAACTATACAGATTGAGGAAAAAACATGAACAGAGAAATAAGGAAACTTAATGCATCGAATGTATACTCCTCAAATAACAAAAAAAGCATCAAAAGTTATAAAATATGAAAATAAAATGGCTTAAAGTATATGGTAAATTTAAAAAAGAAATGCAAGAAATTTCAGCTGACATGGAACAAAAATACCCAGCTGGAATCTCGAAACACCGTGAAGTTAGTAAGGAAACAACATTCAAAGCCTAATCATACTGGGGATATGAGAAGTCTTGACAATAAGGACTCTCATTATCAGTTTTTGATAGTCTTTCAGTCATTTCAACAAGAAAATTATAAGCTGTAATAAAGAGTTTAACTTGCCATTCAAGCGGTCAAGGGTTCATAACAATCAGATTGGTATGTTGAGTTATCAAATGACAAAAGCACAGAAAACTGGCCTACACGTGTATTCAGAGAGAGAGAGAGAGGGAGTAACAATATCTAATTCCATTTATCTGTAACTGATATTTCCAATTTCTCTTCTTTGAATTTACGAGTTAAATACTTCAAAAATAGTAATTACGCCATAACTCATCCTTTTCTAACACTGATTAAGCATCCATTCTATTTAATATGCCAAATCCTCCTTTCCCTTCTGCAATTTTCCGCTTAAAAAACCAACGTGCAATGTTTATCCAACATTTTCTAACCTCAACAATATCTTTAAAGGACTTCTAGATGTACACCTCAATGAGAAAACGTTAATAGATAACAGAAAGTGTTTCAGGTAAAATATTATTTCAGACTGATTAAACAGTTTCCTTATAGAACCAGTTTCTTATATTAGTACACCCTAGCAGATAATTCAGCAGGCTATAAGCTAACAATTTGAGCTGTCAAAACAACAAAACTAAAATTCATATTCACCTCTCATGATTTTCCAGAAATAGAAGAAAATATATTTTAATTTTTTTTTTCCTGAAGGTATTAAAGCCTTACAAAATCTAACCATTAAGAACTGTGACGGAAAAACTATGTGCTGAACCTAAAATCAGAAACAAAAAAATTGTAATTTTTTTCTATTCTAAAAGCAACTAAAATTCAGTATCAAACCATTTAAGAATAGCGTATGTCATTTCAAGTGTATCACATATTAAGGTAACCTGTTTATGAATAATATATAAACTTATGTCAATAATTAAGAATCTTACATGAAAAAAAAAATTAAAAATAAATAGCCTGCTGCATTTTGAGCTTTCATCTATGTGTCTATCCTATTAAAATTAGAATTGGGAGCAAAAACCTTTTAAAGATGGCATTTGTCATTGAGTCATATGGCAAACAGATCTTGAAGAATATTATTAGCCTAGTTATCGATGATACACTAACATATGATGGTAATTTAGATAGATGTGACCTTGGGGTTGGGCTTGAACATAGGTAGTAGGAATTATACTAACCACACCACAGTATCATATGAAGTAAATGCAAGCAGAAAACCTTAGCAAAAATTTAAATTCATCTACAACATGTTTGAGTGTCAAAAAAGATGACAATCATGTATATATGTAAGTGTATCACATCCACCTTTCCTCTTTAAATATATGTTTTCGAGCCCGTGCAAGAGTAGCTTCAGTTACGGTTGGATGATCTCCATATAGCTTTATTTGACCAGTTTCTGCCATTGCCTTGGCAAAGACCTGCAAAAACCACACATAGCAATAGCCATCTAAAACTTGCCCCAACCTTCTAGATATAATACCTTTTGCTCCCAAGCAATAAAGGACCATCTTATGATGCAAATTAACTGAAGTACGTTCATTTACATGCAGTAAAATTAACACTTCAACACTTTCTTGAAAGAATTTTTTTTTATTATACCAACCGTATCAACATCCGGACGCCTCCTTTGCCACCTAGACCATTGCCCTTCTTCAGGCTTCCTCCAATTCCACCAAAGATCTTCACTTGATTGTGATTCTTCAATTGGACGAACCTTTGATGAATCGATAAAGGCATGTGGGCGTCCCATCTTTTTGTCCAACTCATAAGGACTAAGATTCTCATCCTCTTCCTCGGTCTTATAAACCACATATTCAGTGGATGGTTCTTTAGGTTTATCCAAGGTACTATATGAGCATGAGCTTGCAGGCACATGTAAATCACTGCTATCATCTAGATTAATGTTGCCATCAAGTTCACCCTTGTTTTCTGGATCATTCATATTATCTTGAACATTCCCACTATTTGCACTAGTTCTAAGGGTCTCTGAAGCAGCAGCTAGTGTCATGCGCTTCTTCCTCCTGCTTCCAGGATTCTTGCCATAAGAAGGTTTCCCTCCTGACTGGCCAACAGGTTCAGGAGACCTCGCAGCCCTCACACGGTCAGCAGTTCCCTCAGGCCAGTACTCCTTTCCTGGTAAACTAGCCCTAGCACCTGAAGCTGGTTCAAGCTGTCCAGAAGTTGAATCCAAGTAAACATGGTAGGGGGGTGGTTCAATTGATGAAGGATTGAACTTCTCATCCTTTCTTGCACACTTTATTATAGAAAAATTTTCAGCCTTCCAGTAGTAGGATCCCTTCCACTTAATCTTGGCTGGTTCGAACTCTCTAAGAAATTGTCTCTACAAATTCCATAATGACCAAAAATTCATTTGAGCAAAGAAGCAATAATTTTTATGATAAAATGATGAATTTACCGAAAATTCCCACTTCCATTGTAGGGTGCATGAAGCAGAGATTTTCATTAGGAATAACTCTTAAATTTTCTACTTCTTCATAAGGCGTACATTTGGACTCAGTATACAAAATTACTGCACTAAAATTGAAAACGGGATTCATGATATTGTAATTGAGATTCAAAACGACTGAACCTTTTGAGGGGATGATTTTCCAGTTACAACTTCACCAGAAAATGGCATTGTTTGCATGGATCCATCTGAGAAACAAGAGAAATCATCCTTCAATCCAATTTGGTTGTATAAAAAAATTAAAAAAAAATCAAAAGAAAAGAGGATCGAAACTTCAACCTAGTTTTAAAGGAAACAAAGCAAAAATTTTTAAAAACACCTCGGAAGAACCAAATGTTTGATAAAGCTGACATCGCCTTGACTCCCCACCAAGTTAGTAAGAATGACAGCACTAACAACTTCAATCGACCTTCCTTCAAGAGAACCACCCTGTGTCGAAAATGAAGATAACGAGCTACTTCATCAGAATTGCCAGTGTAAAAAACAGAAAAAATGAATAAAAAATGCAAAAAGAAGAAAACATTGAACCTTACAACACTTGAGTTGACCTCTTGCCTGTAAATGAGAACCTAATAAGACAAGTTCACTGGTACCACCCCATTAGGGTTTAGATGGAGTTCGAGGGTTTATGCTTTGCCCACCCGACAAGCTCAGCAACAAACTAAACTGGTTAAAACCTGAAACACCGGCGACAGACTTCATAAACAACTGCGTCTGAAAAATTTATAGATTGCTGGTATTGGATGATATTTAGGCGTTTGGGGGCAGCTTATAAATGCGGCCTTCCAACTTCAAAAAATATTACATCACTATTATACATAGAGTATTATACATAGAAGTAACGTGCATAGTTAATGAAATCATGTCATGATACCCGGCGTGATTGCATAGTTAATGAAATCATGTCATGATACCCGGCGCGATAGGGAAAAAAAAACGGTGCAGTAACACGGAGAATATTATTCCCTGTGTTATTCACGTATTATTGTGTGTTACTCATGTGTTATTGTGTGTTATTCATGTGTTATTGTGTTATTATAACACCAAGAATATTCTCGAATATTGAATATTCTCAGGACACAATAACACTTGAATAACACACAATAACACCTGAATAACACGGAGAATATTTCCAACAGAGGAAAAACGGCGCAATAATACGGGGGAATATTCTCCCCCGTGTTATTCATGTGTTATTGTGTGTTATTCATGTGTTATTGATGTGTTATTGATGTGTTATTGTGTTATTATAACACCAGGAATATTCCCATGACACAATAACACATGAATAACGCACAATAACACATAAATAACATTGGGGAATATTCTCTGTGTTACTGCGTCGTTTCTTTTCTCTGTCGCGCGGGGTGTCATTGCGTGATTCTATTGGCTACGCACGTTACTCTACGTGCGTAGTACTGATGTAATATTTTTTCCTCTAAGTTTTGCGCATTTTTAAAAATATTGTATGTCTTTTTTGGACTTTTGTTACACTAATCACAGGTTGCGGGTCGACTCCTGTGGGCCGCCTTTCATAATAAATTGTTTATCTTAAATCCTGAAATGCACAAGCTGCCCCAAACAGATCCTTAGTGATATTGTGATAATAATATTATTAAATATTTTTAAATAATATAAAATTCATACTTATCTTAATTGGATGTAATATTTTATGAGTGGCAAATTTGAAACAAGGAGTCTAATATGGGAATTTGACATTATAGTCATTATAATACACACCTTTGACCAAATATTTTCTAGTTGATTTTTTTGGAACATGCATAAAAATTTTCTTAAACCAAATTATGTTGAGGGTCATTTGCACACACCACCTTATTCTTATGTATTTAGATAACTACCATCTAAACTTTATCTTTTACATTTATACATCAAAACCTTTCATACCACAAAAAATATCATCATTTTAATTTTTAACACTGAATTACACATTTTCATAAATGGGTAAAATGGCAAGTATATAAAAATTGATGTTTTGGTGTTAATATATAAATACAAAGGAATTGAGTGATGTGTGTGCAAATCTTCATTATCTTTAATGAAGAATAATTTATTATATTTCTGAAATATCTTTTAAGTTCTAAAGTTTGAATTAGTTTAAAAAGTAATTCAATCTGAACACAAATATTATTGGAACTCAGGTCCAAATCTTATTTAAATCACTTAAACTATTGGTCCGCATTGATTTGCACAAAGGATTCATTACTCACTCCTCAGCCCTTTGCACATTGATTGCTCCATCGCTACCTGCCCCAACTTGTCACGAACTCCTCTTCTCTCTCATCATTCATTGCATATTGTAAATGAATATTTTCTCTCTTTCACACACTAATTAATATTGTAACGAACTCTAATTTTCTTCACAAGGCTTTAGATCACATTGATGAATGTTTCATGCTATCACAAAACCTACTTCATTCTCGTAGACATCAAATCCTACTGATTTATTTTTCCCTTCACCTTGACATGACACTAGATCACATCAATGTTTGTCCTCAACCCATTATGAGATTTCTCTTCTTCGACATATTTTGCTAGATTTTGTTGATTCCTACTCATTGTCATCACAAACACCACTTCTACGTCACACGATCTATGCCCCTTAGCCCTTAGCAAACTACGCATTTCTTTCACACGACGTTAACCCTACAAAAACTAGAGAACTCATTATAAATTTGAGTGAACTATGTTTCATTTTTGGCTTGAGTTAAATTTAAATTCCAATTAGTTTGAACAATTTTAGATGCTTAAACTTCATAAAGAAATTTGTACCAAATACGCTAATCACATGGTCAGACCACTCCCATAGAGTTTATATTAATAAATAATAGGTAGATTGATCACAGTTGACTATTGGAGTAGATTAGACTACTTTGTGCTCTAGTTTGACCCAATGGGACAAAATTTACCTTGTTGAGACATTAACCCAAAGATTGGACAATTTGAAGTCAGCTAAACATTTAAATATATTCTAATATGATTGGCTAATAAGTCTAATGTAATATAAAAAGAGTAGTTGGCTTAGCTCATTCAAATTTGACCTAACCTTAAAAAAACTAATTTAGCCCAATTGATTGAATTGTGATATATGCCTATGGCTGGAACCCTAAATTGTGGCTAAATAAGATTTTAGATACTTTAGGAAAATTGGAAAGATTATATAAGATTTAGTAAGAGAAAATTATGTGGAATCAATGAACTATCAATTATGTGGCTAACTTGGCTTGAAATCTATCAAACTTGAGATCTTGAGTATAAACAATAGGTTTTTTGTGTGATAAACATAAGAAAATTCAAGGAAACAAAATGCTAGATAAAATTAAGTAATATGACTAGAAATGATCCGGAGAGTTTCATAATTTCTTAGAATGTTTAAGGTGGTTTAAAAGTATTTGGAACTAGACTAAGTCTTGTAGAGATCTGCTTAGGTCAACCCTATTAAGTAACGAGTTTACTGTTGGTGGAAAGATTCAAGGTTAAGTTAAAAAAGCTAAAAATAGTAAGTAAATGATCTATAATTATTTCTAGATTAATTTTGGAAATTTTATGCTTTTAAAGATGGAAAGGTTTCCAAATGACGAAATGAATATGGCTACATCTTATTTTATTAAGCTATGATTAGCAACCCTAATATTTGATTTCTCTTAAGGAAAAGTCTTTAGTTTTAGTTTATAAAAATTAAATATTTGCAAGATAAACATTATATATATACATATATACATGTATGTATGTATGTCTCTCTGTGTGTGTGTGTGTGTGTGTGTGTGTGTGTGTGCATATATTTGTACGCATTTTTTCGTGTGTGTGTGTGTGTGTGTGTGTGCGTGCATATATTTGTACGCATTTTTTAAGCAAAAATTAAATTTGTATAAAGGATTACAAAGTATTCTTAGAGGGTCCCTATATAAGGAAGATTGAGCCCATCCTTAGTGATCAAAATTTTTAAAGGTGGTAGAGGAGAGTTACCAAAAAATACTCTATAATTACTAGCAGTATATATGTCTAAAAATTTCACCCCGCACAAAGGTAGTTTCGAACTTGTGACCACAGAGGTTTTACAAACTTTGTCAATCAAAGAGTTACGGTAGGCGACACATATATTGTCACGATCCAGCCCGAGCCTTGGAATTAACCAAGACAAAAGCAAAAGATTGAACAGTAGAAACTAAATTTTTTATATTCATCCACAATTTAACAAATGAAAGTCATTACTCAAATTAAATTAAGGAAATATATTTAACATTTCCTCATTACTGGTTTTCTGCATTTTCTATAAATATTTTTCCTTCTATCACTCATCTTTTAATCACTTAAAATTTACCTGAAAAGTTAGTTTAAAAATAATATGGCGCTAAACAAGCCATTGAATATTCATCTTCCTCAACTAAGAATAAAATGGAAAAAGAAAACATTATGCATGTTAGTTAAATTTTTTAATAAATCAATATAAATATTTGATGTTATTCAAAAAAAGACTTATTATATCAACAACATATCAATGTCATTTTATATCTATACAACCGTCACATGAGCATCTTCTAAAAGTTTGTACTAATTAATGTATTTTAATATCAATATCTTTTTTCATATATGCGCATCAGTACCTTAGTGTTCCCTTACTAGTACTATCAAAAGCTGACTCCATCACAATTAATCATACACATATAACCATTTAATAAAAATATAACTTTCTTATAAAAAAGATTCATTTCTCATTTACATAACAGTCAAATCATTCAATAATGATGTGCACACATATAATTCCTAAATCATAAATAAAAATTCAATAGATCTTAAAATCATTAGTTTTACAGTAATTTCAATATAACTAATGATAAATAAATACATTTGGCCTAGAATAAACAAAATATCACCATAGTATAAGAACAAGAGTACTCCCCTTGATGTCAATTAATTTGTTATTTGATTTGTATTGGCTTTGAATCAATTGGAGACCTAACATGGTATAAAATTAAATTAATTTAATATTTTAATTAACCTTTAACTTTCATTATTTAAATATTAAATTTATTACTTTATTTTATGTAATCATAATTAAATTCATTAATTATATTTATATTAGAAATTGAAATTTTCTTACCGAAGTTTGCTCGAATCAACCTTCCTCTTTCTGTAGCTCTCACCCTTCGCCTCCAAATCTGAAATTCTAACCAAATGTATTAAATAATAAATTATATATATATATATAATCATTTAAATAAATTATATTTTACCTTTATAACCCGATCGAATTAAACCACGCACGCAAACCCCTAACCCCTCTACACTCATTGCCTTCTTCCCCCTAGAGCTTCTCCTTCGATTGGAACCCGCATGCAACTTCAGCTCTCCTCTCGCGCCTTCTGCCTTGCTCGACCCTCCACGTTGCTGCCCTCTTCCCTTTCTTCTTCTGCTCAAACGCCCGAGATCAAGCATCGCCGCATCCTTCCTTACTTTCTTCTCCTTCAATCGCTCAGGGTTGAGCGATCATTGCGCAAATGATCTTCTCTCACAGTGTCTCATGCCACAGTTAGGGTTTGTCAACCTCTTCTTCTTCTTTAGTTTCTTTTTCTGCACGTGGCTCTTCATCTACATTTGCACCAAATGCTTACTCGAAGCTCGAAGATGCCACGAGAGCATCTTTTCTTTGATCGACGTGACACTAGCTGCTCTATTTTTGCACTAGAAATTGCTCGACGCTATAGGTAA